GAAGGAAGGAAGGAAGGAAGGAAGGAAGGAAGGAAGGAAGGAAGGAAGGAAGGAAGGAAGGAAGGTTACAGAATGATGGGAAAATCTAAACGGTTAGAAGAGGTTGCCCCGAGACAAATCTAAAACAGTTTAAAGGTGTTGATGATTCTGTCATAAAATCACATCTTACTCAATATTTCAGCTCTARTTTGAGTGATGAATGACCCTCAGCTACTACCCCGCCAAATATCAGCTAAAAATCAGCAAAAATGAGTCGTAGCAATAAAGAAGCTGAAGCTAACTAAAGTCAAAACAAAGAGAACAAAAACTAATGGGCAAAACGGTAACTAAACTAACAAAAAGCTAGCCAAATATAGCAACTAGCTAGTAACCAAAAGTAGCAACTTAGCTAGTAACCATAAGCAGCAACTAGCAGGTAGCTAAAGGTAGCAAAGAGCTGTTAAAAGCTAGAACCAATGAAATGGAGTCAAAAGGCTAACAGTGTCGGCCACTCTTCAACTAATGTAAAGAATTTTACGTCTGAAATCGTTCCAGGAAGCAGTGCAGATCACCTCATCTGTTCATGGAGAGAAGTTTTAGCTCTTTTGATTAAATCTTATGAACCGGTTCAGCCTAAAGCCTGAACTCTGTTCACCCAAAACATTTGATTTCATCCAGAAACAGAAAAACTGAGTTTTCTGTTTATTCTGTTTTGTTCCTTCAGGTCCTGCTGAGTTTAACTTCTCGAAGACCAAATTATATTTTTAAACCGAAGTTTCTGCTCAGCTGCGGGTCCGAGCTCACAACCGTTTGAGGATTAAACGARGAGAAGAAGAACTTGTGACGGAGTTTGACTTCGGCTCGTTTCTGCAGGTGGCGACAGGAACCAGCCGAACTAACGGGCGCCGCAGAGCGAAGCCGTCATTAAAAATCAGGCCGGTCCGAAGGAGCCGAGGGCAGAAAAAACGAGCTGCCTGCTGCACGGAGTCCAAAATATTGATATTAAAGCTTCAAAATAACAGACTTTTATTCTGAAGAGACACTTCCTGAAGACAATTAAAACTAAAGCAGGTTTGAGTTAAAAAAAACACAAAACTTTAAAGTTTTTATCAGGTTTTACACTTAAGTTCACCTAAAATACCAGGATGTATATTAAATTAACTGGAAATACAAGTTTTATGATGATAAACTTTGTGATTTAATGTTTTTGGTTTAAAAAAAACACGTTTCAAGAAGAATTTGGAGACCAGAGAGACGTTTTTTATGTTTAGAGAACATAAAAAAACAAAAAATCTGACAGTGTTTATTTAAAATATTGGTGGAACCAAATCTAAATAAAAAGACTGAAAGATGGAAAAAAGACTCGTGGAAGAATCGAGCAAATTTTTGTGCTCGAAGGAGACAGCGTGGCGATACAGGCGGCTCTTTTCCAAACGTTTTCTGTCTTTTAGAGGGGGCTTCAAAAGAACAAAAGATATATTCAATTAGAGCAATTGAATTTCCTGTAGAAATGCGGCGTGAAAGATTAACGCTGAAAGATGCTGAAGATACTGAAAAGGTTTAATATCAAAACTGTTAATACCAGTTAAATTTGATCAGTT